ACAGGGACAACATCTCTCCATGGGTCCTTAAAGAGGGGAGCAGAGATATTGTGTGAGCCATTAACAAAGATCTTCAACACATCATTTGAAACTGGGCAACTCCTTGAGGTATGGAAAATGGCAAATGTAGTCCCAATTTTTAAAAAGGGAGACAGACATGAGGCACTAAACTACAGACCTGTATCACTAACGTGTATAGTAGGGCAAGGTCATGGAAAAAGATCATCAGGGGGAGAGTGGTGGGGCACCTGGAAAGAAACAAGTGTATAATTGCAACCAGCACGGTTTCAGGAAGGAAAATCCTGGTCACAAAACCTACTAAAATTTTTAAGACATGGTGACAGAAGTAAGACAAGAGAGAGAGGGGGTGGACGACTGCACATTTTTGGACTGCAAGAAGGCCTTCGACACAGTTCCTCACAAGAGGTTACTGCAAAAGCTAGAGGATCAGGCACCATAACAGAAAGGCACTGCAATGGATCAGAAAATTTATCTGACAGGGATGCAACAACGAGTCATGGTACGCGACGGGGTATCAGAGTGGGCGCCTGTGACAAGCGGGGTTCCACAGGGGTCAGTCCTGGGACCTGTGCTGTTCTTGGTATATGTGAACGACATAACAGAAGGATAGCCCTCAGAAGTGTCCTTGTTTGCAGATGATGCGAAGTTAATGAGAAGAATAAAAATCGGATGAGGATCAGGCAGGACACAAAGAGACCTGACAGGCTACAAGCCTGTCCAGAAACTGGCTCCTTGAATTTAATCCTGCCAAATGCAAAGTCATGAAGATGGGGAAGGGCAAAGAAGACCGCAGACACAATATAGTTTAGATGGCCAAAGACTGCAAACCTCACTCAAGGAAAAAGATCGGGGGGTGAGTATAACACCGAGGATATCTCCTGAGGCGCACATCAATCAGATAACTGCTGCAGCATACGGCGCCTGGCAAACCTACGGATAGCTTTTCCGATACCTCATAAGGATTCGTTTAAGACTCTGTATACCATTTACGTCAGCCCCATACTGGAGTATGGAGCACAAGTTTTTTGGGAAACCACACCTAGTCAAGCACGTCAAGAAATTAGAGAAAGTGCAAAGGTTTGCAACAAGACTAGTCCCAGAGCTACGGGGATTGTCCTAAAGAAGAAAGTTGAGGGAAATCGGGCCCGACGACACTGGGGGACAGGAGGGTCAGGGGAGACATGATAACGACATATAAAATACTGCGCAGAATAGACAAGGTGGACAAAGACGGGATGTTCCAGAGAAGGGACACAGACACAAGAGGTCACAATTGGAAGTTGAGGACTCAGATGAATCAAAGGGATGTTAGGAAGTATTTCTTCAGTCATAGAGTAGTCAGGCCGTGGAATAGCCTAGAAAGTGACGTAGTGGAGGCGGGAACCATACATAGTTTTAAGGCGAGGTATGATAGAGCTCATGGGGCAGGGAGAGAGAGGACCTAGTAGCAATCAGCGAAGAGGCGGGGCCAGGAGCTGTGAATCGACCCCTGCAACCACAAATAGGTGAGTACAAATAGGTGAATACACACACACATCACATCACATGTGGCAGGAGGTGGTAGTACAGAGATGTGCCATACTGGTATCAGCCCACGCTGGGAACTATGCCCCACATCCAACACCCCAGTGTTCCATGGCTATGGCCGCTACCTCCCCCCCCCCCTCACACACACACAATACATGTACGAAGGACTCATATGAACACAAATTTCCACACATGCAAGTGCCTCACACACACACAAGCACACACACACACGCTTATACAACAGGCCTAGTGTCTAATCGACATGTGCCTAGGACAAAATGGTAACTAACTAACTAACACACAGGATGGGAAAGTGTAGCTAATGGCTTTCCTCAATGATATGAGCACGGGCCAATATTTTCCTTCTATATGTAAATGTCTTGGTTACAAGTATTAAGTCCTACATATAGTTGCTTCCAGGCGCTTTCAAAACAATGAAGCGAATACAAAATCTACAGGTTAAAAGTGAGCTGCAAGAAGACCGGGATATTTAACCCAGCAAGAGCCAATTTACGAAGCTGAGAGACGAAGAGCGGAGATCCAGAAAGTTAGTTTAAGGTTGACTCACGAAATCGTAATGACACGATTGCAAACAGACCATACCGGGGGGGGGGGGATAGAACCCGCGATCAGACTCATAAAACTCCAAACCGTGGGTCTGGAGTTTTATGATTGATCGCGGGTTCTAACCCCGCCCGTGGTATGGTTAGCTTTGATTTAGTATCTTCATTACGTACCACATACCTATCCTGTTGGCGACAGGTCGAAAAACAGAGCGCCATCTGGGACTAGGATACAGGAGAGACGCAGGGTAATGGAAAAAACCTCAGGAGTAACCATTACCCCAAAACTTCCTCCAGAGGTGCATATAAACAGAGTAACACCAGCAGCACACTCATAACTTACCAACGTAATACTGGCATTAAGAGCCCTAGAGTGAGAGACTCGTTCAAAACTATCTCATATATGCCACCCGTTCTTGAGTAAGAAGTACTATCGTGAAAGTAACACTATGTAAAAGTGAACCTTGAGCGAGTGCAAAGAAAAGCCCCTTAAGATGAGGGTAATTAGCCACGAAGAAAGAATGCGAGAATTAGGCCTTGTGTCACTGGGGACCAGAAAAAACTTGAGTAAGATGAAGACAGACTACTTACGATGCATAAGTGGAACAGTAGAAGACAGTCTCGTTAACTGGAATACAAGAAGAAAAAATATGAGAGAAAGGTTGGAAATTACACAAGAGAGGGGTGTGGCTGTGGCTCATATGTTGGATTGCATGCAGCCAGCAGGCTGCATGCCTGATCCTGGTGGATCAGGCTCTGATCCACCAGGAGGCCTGGTCACAGACCGGGCCGCGGGGGCGTTGACCCCTGGAACTCTCTCCAGGTAAACTCCAGGTAAACACAGGCGTGAGGAATTTCCTGCATGAGGTTCAGTGGGACTGAGAACTGGCAGGGAGATCAGTAATGAGATGTTGAAATATGTGACAACAATATGCAAGGACACAGAGGAGAGGTTTGTGCTCAAGGGCAACAGAAATAATGAAACGGCCAGGACGAGCCCTTGGTTCACCTAAAGGTGTAGAGAGGCCAAAACTAAGTGTGCTAGAGAATGGAAGACGTATAGAAGGCAAAAAACCTAGGAGAATAAGGTGAGTAGTCGAAGAGCCAGAAATGAATATGCTCAGGTAAGGAGGGAGGCCCAACGACAATACAAAAAGGACATAGCAGCGAATGCCAAGTCCAATCCGAAGCTGCTGTACAGTCACATTAGGAGGAAAGCAACAGTCAAGGACCAAGTAATCAGGGTGAGGGAGGAAGGAGGGAGATCACATGAAACGACCGAGAAGTTTGTGAGGAGCTCAACATGAGATGCAAAGTAGTATTCACATAGGAGACAGAAAGGGCTCAAGAAAGACGGAGTGGTGGGGTACACCATCAAGTGCTGGACACAATACAGACAACCGAGGAGGAGGTGAAGAGGCTGCTCAGCAAACTAAATTCCTCAAAGGCGATAGGGCCGGACAGCATCTCTCCATGGGTCTTGAGAGAGGGAGCAGAGGTGCTCTCTGTACCACTAACAACAATCTTCAACTTGTCTCTTGGAATAGGTCGACTACCTGAAGTATGGAAAACAGTAAATGTAGTCATAATTTCTAAAAGGGAGACAGACACGAAGCATTAAACTACAGACAAGTGTCACTGACATGTATGTAGTATGCAAAGTCAAGGAGAAGATTATCAGGAGAAGAGTGGTGGAGCACCTAGAAAGGAATGAGCTTATCAATGAAAATCAACACGGATTGAGGGACGGGAAATCCTGTCACAAACCTACTGGAGTTCTATGGCAAGGTGACAACAGTAATAACGAGAGAGAGGGGTGGGTAGACAGCATTTTCTTGGACTGTTATACTAGGCAGGTATAACAGGGAAGGCACTGCAATGGATCAGAGAATTCCTGACAGGAAGGCATCAGCAAGTCATGGTACGTGACGAGATGTCAGAGTGGGCACCTGAGACGAGTGGGGTTCCACAGGGGTCAGTCCTAAGACCGGTGCTGTTTCTGGTATATGTGAATGACATGATGGAAGTAATAGATTCAGAAGTGACCAAGCAGGCCTATAGAGGGATCTGGACAGGCTGTAGGCCTGATCCAGAAACTGGCTCCTTTAGTTCAATCCCACCAGGTACAAAGTCATGAAGATTGGGGGAAGGGCAAAGAAGACCGCAGACAAAATACAGTCTAGGGGACCAAAGACTACAAACCTCACTCCTCACTCAAGGAAAATGATCTTGGGGTGAGTATAATACCGAGCACAACTCCTGAGGTGCACATCAACTAAATAATTGCTACCGCATATGGGCGCCTGGCAAACCTAAGAATAGCATTTCCGACATCTCTGTAAGGAATCGTTCAGGACTCTGTACACCGTGTACCTGAGGCCCATATTGGAGTATGCAGCACCAGTTTGGAACCCACATCTGGCTGAGCACGTCAGGAAATTAGAAAAAGTGCAAAGGTTTGTAACGAGACTAGTCCCAGAGATAAGGGACATGTCCTACGAGGAGAGTTTTTAAGAGACCTCGACCTGACGACACTGGATATGATAACGACATAAACTACTGAGAGGAATCGACAAGGTGGGCGGAGACAGGATATGTCAAAGATAGGATACAGCAACAAGGAGTCACAATTGAAAGTTAAAGACTCAGATGAGTCACAGGGATGTTAGGAAGTACTTCTTCTGTCATAGAGTTGTCATGAAGTGGAATAGTCTGGAAAATGATGTAGTGGAGGCAGGAACCATACATAGCTTTAAGAACAGGTAAGATAAAACTCTTGGAGCAGGGAGAGAGTGACCTACTAGCGACCAGTGAAGAGGCGGGGCCAGCAGCTATAACACGACACCTGCAACCACAATTAGGTGAGTAGGTGAGTGCACTCATACACGCACGATGGTGGTATAGTGGTAAGCACAGCTGCCTTCCAAGCAGTTGACCCGGGTCCGATTCCCGGCCATCGCAATTTTGTTGTTAGTAGCGACTAGCGAAGAAGCAGGGCCTTTTCGCTAGTCGCTGTGAATCGACCCATGCAACTACAAATAGGTGGATACATACGTACGAATGCTGTGGCATGCAAAGAGTACGTAACCTTTATTCGGCGCATGTACACACCCTCATTTACAGGCTATCTTCCCCAACCAGCGAACCAGGTGACTGAGAGTTGACGATGGGGCCCCGTCGTTCAACTAGTAACCAGGTTCCAGCCAATAAGAAGATAGTTTTGGCAATCGCAGAGGTTACGTGAGTACCACTCTCCTGTCTGCCCTTGTCATTCCCATTCTAAAGCTGGTTGAAGCACGGTCTGCTCTCTAGTGGCTTCTATTCTGCCTTGCTTACCGTGGGGTGCACTATTACCTATCGCTGTACATAGTGTATATAGTGTACATACTTCTGTTCTAAATTGGTAAAGGATAATGTAAGTCAAAACTTTTCTGCTGTGTTTATTTTGCTCCCTTTACACCCAGGATAACAGGCCATTTGGACTCCTGGGTTGTAATATACGCACACAACCAAACATGTAATTACCAGGAGAGCAGTTTCCTGCCTCACCAGCAATATGAAGAAACTTGTAGCTTCAGGAGTCTTCATGCTAGGCAGTGGCTCATACTGTATTTTAGATCACTGGCGAATTCTACGCTTTCTATTGAAAGTAATTCTCATACTGCCTATTAAGGGCACTGTATTTTGCTTTAGCACTATACAGATGATCACTGACACTGCAATTTTAATACAACCCTTGTTACTGCATGGTGCAGAGAACGCAACACAAGCGTCTCTTGAGTCCTGATAGGGAGCCAGCAGCAAAGGTATTGAGACAATAGCAATTGTGGGTTTAGGAACTCCAACAACCACCACTGGACAGTAATCATAGCTTAGAAGTCCATATTCTATATAAGTATTCAAGAGGTGGAAGACACCTGTCATACAGGTGTATGGTTCGATCATTGCCCTCACTACCTGCAGTTGTAATTTACTATGTGCCTACGTTCGCTGTATGGTACTTGGGGAAGGGTAAATTTACATATATCTTGAATCTCTTTCAGAGATACGATCTGTAATGTATGTATGTATGCATGTACTATAAGTATGTATGTCTGTATGAAGATATGTATGTATATAATGCGTATGAAAATAGATTAGCTAAACAAGGTTTTTATCCTTATGGAAGGAATTAAAGTAAATGACACGAAGGCAGAGAATAAAGGGAATCTCTCTAATGAACATAACATTAGAATGGACGGGCACTGCAGCAGACCTTGTTAGGCAGAGCCAATTCACACCCACCCAACACTCACTCATCTGGAGTTTACCTGGAGAGAGTTCTGGGGGTCAACGCCCCCGCGGCCCGGTCTGTGACCAGGCCTCATGGTGGATCAGGGCCCGATCAACCAGGCTGTTACTGCTGGCTGCATGCAATCCAACGTACGAACCTCAGGCCGCCTGGTCAGGTACCGACTTTAGGTGCTTGTCCAGCACCTGCTTGAAGACAGCCAGGGGTCTATTGGTAATCCCCCTTATGTATGCTGGGAGGTAGTTGAACAGTCTTGGGCCCCTGACACTTATTGTGTTGTCTCTTAACGTGCTAGTGACACCCCTGCTTTTCATTGGGGGGATGTTGCATCGTCTGCCAAGTCTTTTGCTTTCGTAGGGAGTGCTTTTTGTGTGCAAGTTTGGTATTAATTCCTCTAGGATTTTCCAGGTGTATATAACCGTGTATCTCTCCCACCTGCGTTCCAGGGAGTACAGGTTCAGGAACTTCAAGCGCTCCCAGTAATTGAGGTGTTTTATCTCCGTTATGCGCGCTGTGAAGGTTCTCTGACATTTCTAGGTCAAAATTTCACCTGCCTTAAAGGGTGCTGTTGGGGTGCAGCAATTTTTCCCCAGCCTAGATAGAACAACGCCTAAAGAAAGCTAGGGGCTTGGCATCCCAGTTTTAAAGTTTTCATTACCACCCGGTTTTTTTCTAGCAGATGCAATTGATACAATTTTTGGGTCCTTAAAGGGGTGAGATCCTCTGACATGATCACTCCCGTCTTTGACGTTATTTTTTCGCTCTATTGTGGGGCTGGAAATTTTTGTTTTATACTTGAGTTTTAATTTCCTGTGTTTCCCATTTTGGAAAGTAATTGAAATTTCTCATCTTGAACTTCATATTGTTTTTCTGAAACCCCACGAAATTTGGGTTTTGATTCCGCCTGGACCCTTGCAGTGTCTGCAATGGAAGACAGTCATGAAATTTCGGTTGTCACTGCAAAGAAAGACAGTGCTGTGGTTCACCCCTGCAGTCAGATAGAAGATGAGGAACAAGAGGGGAGCGGAACAGAGTTTTTCACCATCCCCGTTTCAGACTTTATTCTTTTTGACTACTTCTTTTTTTTTTCTTTTTGCCAGAAAATTATAGATCCATCTCCCAATTTTTTCCCCCTTTTTATCCTTTAGCACGCATTTTTTGCCCCATTAACCCCCATGGTCACACATGTCGAAGGTTTTTCGAGTCCTGATATTACGTTGCATTTTTTTTGTCTTCTAGTGCTTCTGAACCTTGTCGAGGGGACCGTAGTTGAGACAGACAGGAGCGACCGCTCAAAAACTCATCTGCCCTGGGTGTGTAATTGAGGAATCTAATGGGTGGCGATCTTGCCTTAGGACCCTTTCAAAAGTTTTTTTATGATATGGGAGTTAGTGCATGGGTCTGTAGTTCTTTGCTATTACTTTATTTCCCCCCTTTGTGGAGGGGGGGCTGTCTGTTTTTTTAGAAACGTGGAACGCCCCCCGTGTCCCTCCCCTCCCAACTGTTAAAACACGTGATGGGGGCTTTTTTGCATTCTTGATAACAGGGGGATTTCCATGAGTCTGGTCTGGGGCAGAGTGCTGGCATGTCATTTATTGCCTGTTTAAAGTGATTTGGGGCGGGATAACATCAGATAGGCTTGTGTTTACCAAATTCTGGGCTCTCTCATAAAAATATTTTTTGATTTTCGACCTCAGTCGGTTAAGGCTTGTTAAAAACTAAGTCAATTTTGGGGCCTTGATAGCTCATTCATTCCTTTCTGTCATCTGTGTAGGACCCATCTTGTTTATGGGGGGCCCCAATACGGGATTTTGCCTCGACTTTGATTTGGCAAAGAAAGAAATTTTTTGGCTTTTAGTTCTTCCGCAAACCTGACCCCCCAAAAAAGATTCCTTTACCCTTATTTCGATTTTTTGTTTTTTCTCTGACCAGTGTCCCCTTTACGCATTGCAGACATTTTGGGCCCTCTTTTGCCGCACTGTTTTTCTTTTTCCGTCGCCTGAAAAGGGAACAACTGTTCTTTCTTTTTTAACATCGCTCTTCATTTTTCGTAAAGGAATATGCTTTGACATACATCGAGTGCCACCGAGTAATCGTTCTAGGCATAAGTGGGGTCTGTGTTGCTTAGCAATTTTCCCCAGTATAATCTTTTAGGACTTGTTTACGGGCCCCCAAACTTATGTTTTTGTTTTTGAAGTTGAATTTGGTGAATGTTCCCTCGGACGATTCATTTTGTCGGTCTGGGGTCTCCGCGCATACATGTCTAACCTCGATTTTGTTGTATCCAGTATATTGTTTTTAATATGGTGACATTTCGCATCAGATCATCTTGTTAGTGAAATGAGGTCTAGTGTATTCCCAATCTAGAGGCCTTTTTTTCTGGTTTAAGTTGAATTTTGTGCAGAGATTTAAAAGCTCGTGTGTGTGTGCGAATTCTCGTCAGAGCTGCCTCCGGTGTTATCACTCAACAAAAATTATTTGCTAATTCCTCCCTTTTAGGGGCCTCAAAATTTTAAATTCCCAGGAGCAAAGTTTGGAGGGAGGAGCTGGGAAAATTTTTTCCCGACAGGGTCAAATTTTTAAAAACTTCCTGAGTTTTTTGGGCTTGATCCGGGGGCTTTTAAAAATATCCAATGACTGATTCTGGGTTTCGATTTTACTTCTAAACTTCAAATACATCATTTGAGCCATTCAGTTCTGTGCAAATAAGTGATCGCTAATACAGGGCAACCCCAACCCTTTTTTCCTGTTCACTCTGTCACTTTGTTAGGGTTTTAACCGGATCCCCATTTCGTTGTCCAAGGATCCTTTATGTGGGTCTCAGTGAAAGCTCGACATTGCATTTCCTCGCAAGCATCCCGGATACAGGTATTTTGTTGTTCGTTTCTGGCTTTAGCCCTTTTTATTTTCAAAGGAGAACGTATCGGGTTTTTGTTAGGGGGCTCCGGGGGGGGGGGGGATGGGTTTTCCCGGGACTTATTTATTGTTGGTTTGGTGGGGCCATGACGGAAATCCGGGTTTCCCCCAAAAATGCTGGAAGGGGTTACGATTTCGGCCATTTTTGATTTTTTTTTTTTCCGGCACTAAAACTTCCTCCTTAGGCTGTGGACCCCGGTTTTCTGACTTCACGGGGCCGTCTGAAAGGGCCACGGGAAAAATTTCAGGGAAAGGATTGATTTTTCCGGCAAGGGCAGGCATTTCAGGGGGGGCAAAATTCCCCCTCTTTTTTTAGGGGAACCCCCATGCCTGCAGATACCCAGGTGCAAATTGGCACGGCTTGGTTTTGTTTTCCTTATTTTTTGATTATTCCCCTGTTGTGCATTTTTCCCCTGTTCTTGCTTTCCCCTGGATAAAAAAGGAGCCTCACCGTTGTTTCTGGTAAAATTTTCCTCATTATAAAAATGGGGCTCCTTTTTGAATTCCTTTAAAACTATTTGGGGTTTTTTTTTCTATCTTGTTTACTCAAATGTTTTCCCCATACCCCTGTCCCTCCGTTTTGAGAACACTAAAATGCATTCCTCCATACATAGTTTCTTCTACCAGGACAGTACCTCCACCTCAAGTAACTGTCTACCAGGACAGTACCTCCAGCCTCACAGTAACTGTCTACCAGGACAGTACCTCCAGCCTCACAGTAACTGTCTACCAGGACAGCACCTCCAGCCTTACA